AAACTAATAATAGTTAAAGAATTTTAATTATTTTTTAAAATAATTAACTTTAATAAAAAATTTATACAAAAGTTTTTATAAATTATATTACTTTTAATAAAGTTAATAAAAAAAGAAATAAAATATAATTAAATTAAAAAATAATAATAAATATTTAATTAGTTAAAAAAGAAATATATAAAAACTTTAATATTAAGAACTTTTTAATTAAGAAAAATAATTTAAATTAAAATTAATATATTAAATATAATAATAAAAGTATATTTATAATAGAAAATAGATAATAAATAGTATTTTATAATATATTATTTATATAAAATAATAAATATAAAATAAAACTATAATATTTATAATAAAGAGTTAATAGTAATAGTTAATATATTTTAATATTAAAGAATATATATAGAAAAAGTAAAAAATATTAAAATATTTATAGATTATAAAAACTTAATATACTTTATAATAATAAAATAACTAAATTAATAATAAATAAGATAAATAAAGTTATTAATATAATATAAATTCTAAATTAATTATATATTAAGAAAAGATAATATTATTATTAATAAACTTGTTAAGAGTTTACTTAGAGGTAAAAACTAGCTTTTAAGGCTTAGGAAAGATAAAAAGAACTAAGATAGAGAACTAGCTCTATCTTAAGTAGAAACCCTACTTATATATCTAATAAATATTACTATATATTAACTTTTTAGTTTATATATATTTACCCTTATATAAGAATAGTTTATAATACTTATTAAGCTTTTAATATTACTATTTTTATATAATTAAAAAAAATATAATCTAAATTATAATAATACCCCCTCTTTCTATTAAAATATATTTTTATATTAGTTATAAATAGTCTAAAGTATAGGTAAAATTTTATATTAATTAAAAAGTTAAACTTTTTAATAGTTATTAAAAATTTAATAATTATATATTTTATTCTTATATTTTAATTTTTTTATAAAATAACTAAATAGCTTTATTATTAAGTATAGAAACTATATTTCTAAAAAATTTAAACTAAAATAAGAATTATATTTAAGTATTTTAATAAATAATCCTTTTTTAGTTTTATTATATTTTTCTATTTAACTTAAATATTTTTTTAATAGTTTTTAGTTTTGTTAAGCAATCCTATAGTATAGTTAATTATATTCTAGTTTTATAAGTAGAATACTTATTAATTAGTATTTTATATAGTTAGGATTAAAAAATTAAATTTAAATTTTAATAAAATTAATAAGTTTTATCCTATAGTATTAGCTTTTTTATTAATAATAAAAAATAAGTAATTTAACTTAAAATTAGTATTAGAAATAGCTATAACTTAGTTTTTTAATTAATTTTTTATTAAAAAAAATTAATTTAAAACTAAGTTAATTATAGCTTTTTTTTATTTTAATATTTTTTTTATATTTTTATTTTAATAAAAAAAATATTTAAATTAATTAAAAATAATTAAAAATTATATTAAAAAGTTATTAAATAATAAACTTATAATTATAATAAGTAAAAAATATTAAGATTTTATTATTATTATTATATAGCTATTAAGTTTTTTAATTTATATACTTTTATAATTAAGATTTTACTTTTTTTAGTTTAGAAAAGCAAAACTATAATATAAACTTTATTATAATTATTATTAAATTAAACCTTTATTAATATATATATTAAATACTTTTATACTTTAAGTTTAAAAGTTATTTTATAAATTTTTTTTTATAGTTTTTTATAATAATAAGCTTTATAATATAATAAATAATATATATATAATTCTAAAACTTAGACTTAATAGGAAGCTAATTTATACTAATAATAAATAGTTATTATTCTAGTTCTATAGAACTTATAAATTCTAAGAATAAATCTTAATAAAGCTATTTTTATTATTTATAAGCTTATTTTTTATAAATTTTTTTTATAAGTTTTATAATATAATAATAATATACTTTTTAAAAAAAAGTAATTTAAGCTAAGTTAAAAACTAGTTTATACTAATAGTAAGTAGCTATTACCTTAGCTACCTACTTTTTAAAAAGAAACTTTAAGTTTAAATCTTAATAAAATTATTTTCTTTTTTTTTAATTTTTTTTATTATATTATAATATTATTAATAAAAAGTATTAATAAAGTAAATAATATATATATATAATTAAAATAGTATAAATTAGAATATTATAATTTTTAAAAATATTTTATATAATAGTAAGGTAATTTATTAAAATTATTTATAGCTATAAAGTAATAATAATAAAATTCTATTACTAGCTTAAATAAATAATTAAAACTATATATATTATACTATTAATTATTATATTTAATATTTTTTTATTTAATATAATATTATAATATATTATAACTATAATAAGACTATAATATATATTTTATACTATATTCCTTTTTATTATTAATAATAATAGGTTTAAGCTTTAAGTTAATCTATTTAAAAAATAGAATATTAAGATTTTTTTTAAAAGTTTTATATAAAATACTTTATTATATTTTATTAAAAGGGGTAAATCTAGTTTATATAAATATTTAATTTTATAAAGTATTTTAAAAAAACTAATTTATTTATAATCTAGTTTCTTATTTATTTATATAGTTTTAAGATTATTTATTTTTAATTAAATATAATTACTTATTTTATATTTTATATTTTATTTATAGTAATTAATTTAAATTATTATTTATTTTTAAGTTTTAATAATATAATTTTAATATTTTTTAATAATAGCTTCTATTTTTATTAAAATATCTTTTATATAGGCTATTTATAAGTATTTATAAAAGTTAATATATTTAATATTATTTTAAAAAAAGCTTATTTATAAATAGAAAATATTTAAAATAAAAAATAATAATATACTTATAGTTATAGAATTTATATTAATATAAATAAACCTTATTATAAATAAGAAATTAACTTAATTATCTTAGTAAATATTAATAAATATTTAAAAGTAAGTTTTAATCTTTTAATTTATTTATTTTATTTATTTATTAGTTTTTAAGTAATAAGCTATTAAAAACTTATTATTAATTTTTAACTTTTTGTATATTAATTTCTATAAATTAAAAATAAATTATTTTTTATAATTTAAAATTATTATATTTAATAATTTATAATAAAAAATAATATCCGTCCTAGTGAAAGGGGCGCCCGTTCCTGCGTCCGGCCTGGTGCGCGCCCCTTCGGGTTTGGCGCGCCCGCTTCGGGTCAAGCGCTGCGCCTTGGCTCGCACGCCGCTTTCTCGAGGTATAAAGACCCTCCACCTCTCGCGGTGCTCCCACTCTCCTTCATCTTTCTGCCCATACCGACCATCCTTTCGCTCTTTCAGGGATCTACGCCCCCCTTTCTGCCGACCATCGCCGATCGTCATGCCTCCACCTGGCATGCGACATCTTCGTATCGATCGTCGGCGCTCAATCTCTACCTTGGCCCTCCCACTTCGGTCAGGGTGATCTACATCCGGAGCTGGTGATGGGGCTGCACTTTCTACTTTGGCCTCCGCCTGTCTCTACGTTACTGCCCCAGACCAGCTCGAACGTGGTGATGATGCCATTTTGGGGGTGGCGGGGGGAGCTGGAAAGTGCCAATCTTAGCAGTTCTGCACCGTCGTACCCTGTCTACCTTCGCCAGCCACCGTCTCACCCTTGCTCAACCGACTGTTGTTTCTGTAACGGCACTAGTCAAGAGCTTCAGCTTGAAGCGACGATCTCACGGCTGAGAGACAGTGGCATTGCCGGACGGCCACAACACGACCAGTGAAGAAAATGCCTCACACCTCATCACGAGTGCTCAGCCTTTCTACATCTCTACCTGGCTGCGTCTACACCAGATTCTGCTTTGGCGAGGATCAGATGACCTGCCTCTGAAAGGCTAAGTTCTGAAGCTAAAACACTGGTGATGAGCAGGAGCCAACCACTGCCGCACCCCTGCGGTGAGCTGAGCGATCGGTGTGGGGATGAGGGAATCGTTGGTGTACACGATCTCGGGTCTGTGCTGCCCTTGTCGCGGCGACAGCCAATCGAAGAAATGCCTCACGCCTCTGAGCAAACTTTTGCTGCGCCACCGATGCATAGCTCGAAGTTGAGCTGTCAGGCAGTCTGCTGACCTTCCTACATCGAATCCGGTAAGGATTGACTGGGCTGCGCTGGTCCAGCTCAGCTCGCTTGAGTTTCATGAGGCAGATTCGTTTTTCCGGAGAGGCGACTGCTTCACAAGCATTGCCTGGATCAAGGAATACCTCCGAGGAGGCGTACGCGACTCAAACCGGCGTCCTTCATGCGTAACGAATCAAGCTGGCTCGTTTGAGCCATATCCTTGTCCTCCCAAGTTCGAGACCTCCTCGGAATCGAGCGTCATGGACCTTTCAGGCAGCAACTTCACGGATGAGACGGCTGCGGAAGGTCAGCTGGTCGAAGATGAGACATGACCCCAAGAGAACCTGTCTCCTGTGAAACCTAGGGGAGTGCTGGTTGGATGATGAAGGAGCTTGGAGAAGGAGATTGCTGTAGCTGTGTCCCGCGATTGCTGCATGCAGGGTACGTGAGTGGAGGCTTTGAGACATCGATCCGCTTTGCGCTGAGGATCGTGGAGGAGTGACACAGCCGATGCGTCACGGGAAGGCTCAGCTCGAAGATCCATTTGCTCCAGGTGGATCCAGAGATGTGGACGCCCCTGTCTAGCTGCGCGAGCGGTTGGGTCGAATACGAGGTTGCAACGGCCGAGAGCTTTGCCAGTGTATACCAGCTGATATGAGGACTGACGAGCGATCGGCGATCGAGTACCTTAGGGTGACGGAGGGAAGGTGCGAATTTTGGGCGCTGGGAAGGTGCTCGGGGGTGATACTTGCACCTCTCAGCATAAATGACCCTCCTCCCCTCGATTTGCTCTCTATTTCGAATTCCCACCCAGACCTCCTCAGCTCAAGCGAATCGATCCGTCTAAATCGCCTGATCCCCTTCGCACGTTGTATCTCAGAATGGCCTTTGTTGATTTGGGTGCCATCAATTTCTACGAGAAACCCCCATCCAAGTCAGGTCCGTGTGGGGATAAGCGGCCTCCAGCACACAACGGCAACGTTCCCACTGTTAACGAACAGTGCGAGAGCCGCCAAGCTCTGACATCTGCGAAAAAGCCTGGAGCATACACTTTATGGAGTTCGGACAATAGTATACCGGTGTCTCTGCGCGTTGAGAACGATTCTGGTGTTGAGGGCTGGAGGGGTGACTCGACACCAGTTTTCAAGATGCCCCCTGGATGGGGCACGGGACCGCTAAGGGGAAGTTCAAGCAACAGCACCGAGGCGGACAAACAAGATACGAGTACGCCCGGTGAACGCGCCGTCAGAGGCGATGATCGCTCCCGCTTCCATCACCCTCCAGGGCCGCCCTGCAAATCTAGGATCCTCGGCAAGCCCATAGCCGGGAAAACCGCATGTGAGTAGGCTGAAACCACATCTCAAGGCTGGCACTGACCATCGGTAGGTGACCTGATCGAGGTGGACAGCGGCGATGACTCCTCTTCTTCAGACGATTCGGGCAGCAATATCGGACACGAAACCTCGTCCGCTACCACCCCTACCTGCGCCGTATCGCCTAGCGTCAGCAGTTTAGATAAGGACAAGATAAAGAAGACCGTGACTGGCGGTAGGGGCGCGGAAGGGCCTGTTACTGTTGCACTGAACCTTCAAGAGCATCAAGACAGCAGCTGGCTAGACGTCGACCAGTTTCCTGACACTGATCTGAGGTTTGAGGACCGTGCAGCTGAGGACAAATGCCAAAAATTGGGAGACCTCGAGGATAATTTACGATCTGATAGTGCCAAGGACGGTCAGGCTGAAGACGGTTCCCGAGAGATGGACCACCATGCTAATAGAGCTGAGGATGAGGATGGGGTAGAGCATGGTAGGGAAGATGCCATCACGGATCCAGAGATGGATGGCATTGAGGTGTACAGCGATGGGTCCCAGAGCAAGGGCGGTCACAGGGCTGGCGTTAGCGGCGATGTTGAAGGTTGGTGTGACCCTCATGCCTTCTACGTATTAGAGCTGACGCTGCAGTTCCAGAAGAGCAGGACCCGTCCGACGCCCAAGTCCCTCAAGTTCCAGTGCACTCCTCACCTCCCCCATGGCCGGCAGAGGTCGTGGTAGACCTTGTCGCAGCCGAACTGCGATTACGGTAGGTAACGCCGTCTGGGAGGTCACTAAGATTGCCGGAGATGAATAGTCGGGCGAGGGGCGGGTCCTCAAGGTCCAAGCCGAGGCATAGCTGGCTGAGGAAGATCTCCCCGTTCTTCGGGGCGCCATCGCAACGTATCGGGCCAAGCAGGGCCGTACGAGGGGTAAAAGGAAGAGCATATGTGGAAGGAAAAGAAGAAGCGCTCGCGGAAAGAGGGAAGAACGTCAAGCTTCAACGTAACACGCCTTGCCAGAGCCTTGGATGTTGTAGTTTCGAGAACAGCCTGACTTCGGTGGCCACAAGATCTCGGCCTACTTTGTTCTTCACCTCCCCTTCCTTTCCCACCCCTTATATCCTTGCCCCCCTGCCTCCCCCCCTCCCCAGCCCTCTCCTACCCAATTTCTACTTGCTCCTTTCCCCTACCTCCATCGCCTCTACATTTTCTTCGGAGCCGCCCATAGGTGCTGTATACCTACCTTTCCATGAGACGAACTGGCACTCAGCCCTGCAGAGGCCACTTCCCATTTTTTGCGTGCTTAGCTTGACGGTGAGCGCGGCAGGCTTCAATGGACTTGATGTGAAAAGTGATAGGATTCCTAAGAAGACGTCTATCTGAACACTGAGTCTGCCATCAACAGCTCGCTGCAAATGGTTTAAGGGAGACTTCTAAGCTATAAGTATTCTCCTCCCTTCCGTCAAGCTCTCGACCTCCTTCTCCACGCTCTTACGTTGCTGGATGGATGTGATGTCTTCTCCGGCCACTGCTTCCAGCCGCTCGTCTGATAGCTCGACCATAAATTGTGATGCAGATCTTCGCCATTGTGTATAGAAATTTCAGTCTCCACCGCGGCTGCTCCAGAGCTTTGATTGCGAGACAAAATGGCGCGGTGAGAATGATAGTTTTCTTTTTACGATCTTAGAAAGTGAAGGCAGGGCAACACATCAACGTTTAGATCCCGTCCGTCAGTTTGTAGTCTTTCTTGCAAAGCTATCCTTTTACTGTTGCGTCCTAGAGTGAGGGCGGAAAACCTAGTCTAGATTTTTTGATAGAGCCGAGGGATAGTTTTACACAGAAGCTGTTTAACCGCGCCCCCGAATACGAAAAAGGAAGCGTTTCTTTAAAGGGAATGGAAGAAGGCTATAAACCTTAATCAAAAGCCAGTAACATAGACAAAAGACCTTTTAGTAAAGCGAGAAACAGCGAAGATAGTTCAGGGCTGTCCGATCTCCGCATAGCTCTCTTTAGTAGGCTGTACTGCTTAGGTGTACTTATTAGCGATTATGGAAAAGTTTTTATAGTAGCTACCGGGTTTAGGATCGCGGTATAATTGCTTTTCCTAAAAGAGCTAATACAAGGATTCAACCAATTGCAGGTTTATATATATATTATCTATTTAGTATAGCAGTTAACTAATCTAGGTGAGTATATAAAATCCTTTTATAATAGAAGATATTTAACGTAGCAAGTAATAAAAAACCTACTATTAAATTGCTTAATAGAGCTTTAAAGGAAGATACTTTAGACTATAGTTATATAAATATTTAATATATAAGAAGTGCTTTCTAAATTAAATTAATATAGCATTATTAAATACTCTAAGTATAGTTGTTCTTTAGAAATAGAAGATTAGCTCCCAACCTATAGTATACCGGAAAGTATTGCTATATTCTCTACTATAATAGTGCAATAGACTTGGGAAGTTTCTTATAGGATTAATTGGAGATATATTTAGAAAAAGATAAAGGAAATATTTTAATTATAAGTAATTTTTATATTATTTCTAAACGTAGTATAAAATTAACTATTAGTTTAATCTTAGTAAATTAATAAATCTAAAACTATTTGCAAGATTTTATTTAAGTATATTTATATATTAATATAAAACTGCTAGAACTTAATTACTAGCTAGCTAAGAGGAGACAAAGCTAGTAGCCTTTTACCTAGTCTTATAGATAAAATAACTACTCTAAAAATCTTTAAGTAAATAGCTTTCCTAAATTAAGCTTAAACTAGTATTTTATACTTAAAGGCGTAATTTAATTTTAGCTACTCCCTATCAAGTTTTGGCTATCTGCGCCTATATATTTAAGCTGCTTTTATATCTATTTTTTAGCTATATAGATGCTCTAGGGTAGATTCTAAGAGGTCTTTAGTGCTATATAATTTTTTATACACCTAGTAATAGGCAAGCAAAGCATATATAAATAGAGAAGGCCTATTACCTAGCTTTAGGCTTTTCGCCCTACTGTTGCCAACGATCTATTACAAAATAATTTAGTAATAACGCTGCTAAACCTCTATATATAGAAGAGTATTCTATCCTAAAAGGACTTATTAAAGCCGCTAAAGACTTACTTACTGAATAAGATTATTCCTAAAGATTAACTTAGAACCCTTTCTAAATTTAGATCTTTTAAGAAGAATAGTACTTTAAAGTTTAATAACAAAGATATTAAGTAGCTTATTAAAAATATTCTAAAAGGACTATTTAATGAATTTATAGCGCTTAATTTAGCTAAGCTAACTATAATTAAATTAGAGAATAGTAAGGACCTAGATTTAGTAGTAATTAAAAAAGTTAAAAAAAATAACAAAAGCTATATTAATTAAATAATATTATTTACTAGTAACTATTTTATATAGATTAAAGATATATTTAAAGATAGTAATAATATTATTATAGTATTTAAAACTATAGATATTACTTTCTAACAGCTTACTAGTATATTACTAAGTCTATTAAAAGCTTTTTAAATTATTATAATCTATAAGGAGGTTAGCTATCTTTAATTATATTGCTTAAGGGCTACTTATATTAATTAAATAACTATTAAAAAGACTTTTATACTTTTATAAAGAACTTAAGCATTATTATAGAGTACTAAGCTATAGTATAGTACTTCTTAACTTTAATAGAAGAGTGAAAATTAGTTAGTACTATAAAAGGATATTAATGTTGCTAACAAGCTCTAGCTAATATTAGCGAGTCTATTATTAGAAATAAAAAACTTAACCTTAATAATAAGAAAAATAATATTTATAGCTTTAGATTAATTATAATAAAGTTAATAAAGCTAGAAACTTTTATTTTTAAACCTTATTTAGTTATATTTAAAAATATAGATATATAAAAAGATAGCTATAGTATTAAGGACTTTCTTACTATAATACAATAAAATATATTAAAGATATTAAAAAATATAAGTTATTAGCTTTTATTATTTAGTTCCTTATTCTTACTAGACTAAGTATAATTTTCTCCTTAAAAAGCTAATTTAAAAATACTTTAAGCCTTATATCTTCTATATAGTAAAAGCAGCTAACCTTAGCTATAATATACTTTATCTATTATAAAAATCTAGTAAGACATCTATAAATAGCAAATAAATAGCTATAATTTTCTATATAGGTCAAGTTAAATAATAGGGACTAAAGATAACTACAACTCTAGTAATAATAATTAAAAGGAAAGTAATAGAACTTAAGTAAGAGTAGAATGCTGAATTTTAAAGCTAGTTCTAACTTTCTAATAAGATACTAATTTAAATTACTTAGTCTATTATTATTATAGGGCAAAGGGAGCTAGCCTTATATATAAATAGCATCTTAGCAGTATTAGATCTTTCCTAAGATATCTTCTTATAAGACCTCTTATAGCTTATGAATTGCAATAATAGCCTCCTATTCTTATTTCTTAAATACTCTCTCTCTCTTTTATTTATATAAGTTGTTACTAATTTTAATATTTATTATCTTCTACTTAATTTAGTATAGTATTTTAATTACTATATTATAAGGTATAAAACTAAGTAACTATTTAGTTATCTTATAGACTTCTTTGCAATTAAATTGTTTATTAGTTTACTAGTCCGCCCTTTATATATACTAATTTTATAACCTAGCTATATATTAATAGATAGTGAAGTACTATCTAAAAATTTATATATAAATCTATATATTAATATAATCTTTTAAGTTAGTATAATTAGCTTTTAGCTTCTAAATAGTCGCCTATATAGCCTAGATATAGATAGCTTTATTATAGTAGAGAACCCTTTATAGCCGCTAATATAGTTAATAGTATAGTATTATTTATTCTAGAGAAAAATTTATATACTATTTATTTTGGTTTTTAACTAGTACTAGAAAACCCTAGGTTAAGCAGAAATATTAGAATAGAAAAAATATACTAATATATATATTATAATAATTAATATTTATATAGTACTTTAAAGGAAATTATAGAATATATACTAGATTATAATAGACTTAGGTTTTCTAAATAAGCAAGTTTAATTCTATAAATATAAATATCTTTTTTAAAAGTCTATTAAGTATAAGTATATTTTAATAGTATTACTAGTAAATAGGCTTTAAATCTCCTTTTTAATACTTCTAGATATACTTTTATTGCTATAGTTATACTCTAAAGTAATTAGATTATAAGATAAAGATATAATAAAAAAGTACCTCTAAAAAAAGATCTATTAATAGTATAGGAATAGGGATAAAGCTTTACTTTAATAAACTTTTTTTACGCTTTATATAGCTCGTCGAGACTAGAGATATAAAGGGTTATAAAATTTATAATTTATAATAAAGATATTTCTAGTACTTATATATATATAGGTTTATATAAGTGTTTAATGTCTATTATTTCGACATATTAGGGAATAATGTTTTTAAGCTATACTCTATCTAATAGGTCTTATAATCTAATTATGCAAGGTTCTTTGCCCCCTACAACAATAATTTAGTCTTGCAAGGTTCACAAAGGAGGGTATCACAGTCGGGGCACTTAAATGGATATTTCTCACACTGCCTCAGGCATCCTTCGCAAGAACTTGAAGCTTCGATCGCCCCTTACACGGTGGGCGTACGCCCCGGGTATATTTGTAGATGCGGCTTTCACGGTACCCTCTTTCGCGGTACCTGCTTTCACAGTACCGTCTCTCACTGTGCCGGTTTTTATGGTGCCTGCTTTCACAGTACCGGCCTTTACGGTGCCGTCTTTCACAGTACCATCTCTCACAGGTGCCGGCTTTTATGGTGCCTGCTTTCATGGTACCGGCCTTTATGGTGCCGTCTTTCACGTACTCCCTGGGGTGTACGCCCCAGTGGCGTACTCCCCCAGCGCGTACGCCCTGCCTCAATTTGTGGAAGGAACCTCTGTGGCGTACACCCCCAGCGCGTAGGTCTCACTGAAGTAGTGATTTGTCGTTAACAGGTTGCCGGAACGCTCCGTCCGCAGGAGAAACTGGATATGCTCCACCACTTTGCGATATATCTGAAGGAGCTCATCGATCAACAAGGACCAAAGTGCAGTCATGACTCGTTCTTCCGGGCAGAGACGTGTCAAGATGGTGTTGCAGAAATAGTGAACCGTTGCTATGACATTGGTGACGTATGCCCCTGCAAGGTCTCCCCATTTCATTGAGAGTTCTTGGAAAAGAGTCGGGAAGATCGACGGATTAAAGGTGCCGAGCTCGAAGCCTCTGGACGACTTGTATTCCCGCTCAATCCACTCCAATATGCTCTCCGAGAGTGGAGGACGGGGAGTCGACACAGCGGGCAAAATGTTCATTAGCTCAGGATACTCGAGAGGTTCGATCGTCATGGACCTGTCATCCTTACCGTCCACAAGCTTCTCTTCTCCAGACCACTTGGAAGAACATCCTTTGAGCTTCAGCTTGCGAGACCGCATCGTTTTGATCTTTCAGGGACTCTTACTGGGAGAAAATGTGAGACAATTCACCGCGTGCCCTCTTTGCTCCAGGCTTTCAGAGAACGCCGCGTTGAAATCGATGATGAGTGTCGCCAGCCCCAGTTTTATTCTCCTTCAAAAATTGGTGCCGTCCGTACTGAGCCTCTACCGCAAAGGTCGTGATTTCCTGAAATTTCGTAGCGATTCCCAAGAGATATCTCCGCTGCTGCTCAGACGTCTGTTTAGTGGGACCGCGGTTGCGTTCGGCCGAGGTGAGATTTCGTTCCTGCTTGCCTCGATTTCGAACAACACAGTATCCGAGCTTTAGCTTCTTCTTCCGGCCTCGGACCAAATCTATGATGTCTTGTTCCGCTTCTTTATCCACCAGGTCTGGCTTGGTGAGAATTCCCAGTGTCCGCTGGCCGGACGGGTCGACTTCTGCTGCCATATCGAGTATTTCACTCAGGAGTAGGGATGCCCATAGCTTCGCTAGCCTTCAATTTCCTCAGTCCAAATATCAAGGCAGTGCCCGTAGTGACTGGAGCGACGTACCTTCGCAAGCAGGCGTTTGAAATCATCCGCCGAGAAAACCTTCATGCTATCATCTGTGAAAGCTTTCAATTTTGCCTCTCGTGCAGCGTCGGTCGATGGAGATGGGATAATGGAGACTGTTACACTTTCCTGCTCGGCCCTGCGAAAAATTATCTGCGTCGCAAAGCGTGTACACAGGGTACTATCGCGAGGAAACGGTAGCTCGGTGAGACCTTCCAGGACCGAGGACTTCCCACTGGATTGATCCCCAACGACAATGAGCTAGAACAAAAGAATAAGCATCGTGCACGACGTTATTTGAAGCCAGGAAGCCTCACTTCGGAAGCCGTATATACTCGCTTATTCCTCTCCCACGCAATTTGTCCATCTTCGCCAGGAGGGTTGGATCCCCAAGGTGGCTGTCTTGTCTAGAAGCCATTATCAACAGAGTACAATTGAGTAGTCGATTCTTCAAGAACGATCTATAGCAATCGCAGAAAGATTCTCTTAATTCCCCTTCAAGCAAGACGTCGCCTCTTATGTGACCGATGGAAAGCCTTTTTGCACCCGGATTGAGGACCGTGTTCTCCAATAGGATTCCATATGTGGAGTGGGGAAACGTGGACAGTCCCCACCCAGTACACCGCTTCAGCCTCATTTGACTTTCTGTTGGACATTGCGCTCATCGTTCTTGCTTTGTTACGTCGACTCCCTGCTCTTGTATCCAGCGACGGAACTGACCTTTTCGGCCGTTTTATGTTTCAACAACTTACTTCATAGCAACCAAAGCCGTGCCTGGAGGCAGCTGGCTCTTATTCTTCTCAGCAACCGCGGCGAATTCATTCAGTAATCTTTGGACGCATACTTTCACTGAAACGCCCTTTCCGCCGTACTGGGAAGGCTAGGGCCGGCAGCCATCCCTCCAGAGCGCACCACTACCATTTAGCTTCAGCCTTGTCTGCTTCACTCTCGACTTGAGCCAAGCAAAACATCGTATACCTAACCAGATGCGAGCTTTAAGCTTTCCTATTTGATCTGTCAAATCAAGAATAAGTAGCCGTAATTCTTGCAGGGTGATAATGGAGCGAGTCGTACCTTGTGTATGATGAATGCATTAGTGCTCGGCGATGATTGCTCCAAAGTTTTTGGTTTGGAACACGTGATGCCGATCGTCTAACTCACTCTGAAAGTCCATAGTCTAGCCGCCAAGACCGTCAAGGCTCTTCATATAAAGGAGGAGCCCTGCCCATGTAATAAAGCGTCGACAGCCACTCCACTGGTACCGGCAACTGCGTTAGATCGGTAAGCTAGATTGTGTCTACCGCCAAAGGTGAGTCTACTCTTCTTTTTCTTTCAATCTTTCGCCGACCAGTATTAGTCCTCGGCATCGAAGTACCTCTACGCCATTCCACTCAAAATGAAATGAATCTCTTTGAGCTGACAATTACTCCTAGATTCCGCGTCGTGATTAGGAGGGCTATTGTCATAACAAAATCCATAACGGATAGAGAAAATGACGACGAGTTTAGGGGAATCTGGTTTCTGCAAAAACAGTCAATGTGAATATGCCAACAATGAGCACCGGTACAGAGTTTGTAAGGCGTACGGATGCAATGTGCGATGGAAGCGTTGTCAAGTCGCTGGCAGATGTAACGGTGTGTATTATAGAATCTGTAAGAAATGTGAAGTACATCCCGGTGCAGAGCTAGACTGGTGACGTGATACGCCCATAATTGCGGGGAAATAGGGAGTTTTATAGCTGTATTGTTTTACGCTATATACATAATTGAGTTCAAAACACTTTACCGTCTAAGGACAAAATAGTAAACCGACAATGCACTCCCTAGTGGGCACGGAGGTTAGCTAACTCCGTGGGTGGCCTCGAACCTTTTCTTACCGCTCTTAGCGAGCTCATTTCGGGTATTTTATGCAATTGTTTCAAAGGACAATAATTAGCTAATTATGCCTATTAATAAGAACCTTCCCATCTACAAATCGAGCGGGTCTTTAGTTTTTTACCTAGGTGATAGGATTTGCCCTTCAATAGCCTAATTCGAAAATGCTATAAGAGTAGGCTATAAGCTTTAAAGTTCTTTAGCATTGGATACTAGGAATAATTTGAGCCTTCTATGTACTGCTAATTGTCTAACAGATCTCCTATAGCATATTCCTACTTTCTATACCTAATATTTAAAGGCGTTTTCGATCTTTAATAAACCCTTTCCGTAAGTTAAGTTCGCTCTAGAATAGATAACGACAACTAATAAGACTTATAATTAACTTGTAAAACAAACTTATTACTACCTAATTCTTAGGATTTTAGAACCTATAGCTTATAAATTTCTAGATCCTTTAGAGGCACGCTTATATTGGCCTAGGATTGGAGCGGACTATACTTATTATCTATTTTACTTTATCTTTAGTTAGATATATATTTTCTCCTATAGATAGGTTAAAATACTTTAAGATATTAGGGAAGAGGTCCTTCTCCAACAGAGTAAAGAACTAAATTATTAAAATTTCTAGGAAGTGGTTGCCGGTCCCTATTAACAAGCTATTATTATCTATAGCGGAAATACCTTCTATATACTATAGTCTCTAGCTGCGTCTAATGCAGCACTATAGTATACTTAAAAGTTATCTATTTACTAGAATAGCATACTAATATAGGGCTCTTAGGACCTAGTTTCTAGAAGTCTCACTTAACTTGTTTTTTGCTTTCGATATCTTTGTCAACTATTATAAGTTAGAAGGTATTGCCTATAAATATATTGCTGCGCTAGCTATAGTCCTAACGCTTCTAGAGCGTAATAATTCTCTATTTATGCTTTTATACTTAAAAACACCCCTAAGATTTAATACTATATAAGGCTAGAAAGATAATTACTATAAGAGTTTATTTAATTGTTTTAGTAGCTGCATAACTTTAAGTTATAGTTTTGAAGGGATAGACTCGCTTTTCTATAGTGTTTTCTTTGAGCCTATAGTCCCTTGCAACTTCGTTCAAGCTTACTTATTAGGAGTTATAAAAGCAATCGAGCTATTATAGAGCAATCTGCGGATCCTCGCACTACTAATAGCTAAAAAATGCCTAAAGGTCTCCTTATTATAGCTAGCAACGATCTAGAATAGCTAAGTAAGCTATATTCTAAAATCTACTATAGGAGGTCTACTACTAATTAGTCTTCTAGCTGCTTCTTAGATAGAGATTATCTAATTATTTCTCTAAGCAAGATATCTTTCAATTACTAATCGATATAACGCTATATTACGCGCCCGCGAATATAGTATAGCTTATTTTGTTTAGCCTAATATTATGATTCCCTTCACACCTTTGCTACTATTCGGTGAGATAGCTATGTCTAATCTTAGCCTTAAAGTCAAAATGCATTTAAATTATAACCATAGACCTTTTCTATATAGTATAAGTTAGATATTAGAAACTAGCGAAGAATTACTAGATTAAAGAGGTTTAAAGTTAGTTACTTAACTAAGTATTTATTTAACGCCTATAGATTGTATAGAATATGTTAAGGGACTTCTGTAGAAGTAAGTCGCATTAAATGATATTAGAGGCTGTTGACTGATTCCTATAAGTGAGGCATATAGAGAGGCTAATATTGTGTCCTGTGATGCTAGTTTCAATCTCTTCAATTAGTATAGAAATAACGAAGGGGGTTTGTAGCTCGCTGAAGGTTTCGAGGACGTTGATGCCGTTAGGAGAAACAATTCATATCCATGGGTCAAGAATGATTCGGACGAAGATAAAGTTTTAGAAAGTAGAGATTCTGAGAATACAGTCAATCGGGACAGCATTAAGAGATAGCGAGATAGTATAGGCCAATGAGGCGGAGAGAAACACGACTTTCGAAACAGTCGTTGTTTAAGGTTGTCTTTCACATCCAAGCATCGGTGGGTGAGATGATGATACAGGATATGCATTTTTCGATAAGAAGTCGCTTGGAACAAATTTGGACACGAGGGAACAAGCCATGTAGAAGGCTGAAGCTCCTGAGCAGGGGCCTTGTTTTGACATTTGACCCGTTATCGCCAGTAGGCAGATCACGTGACTCAAGCTTGGCGTGATCACTATCAAACACGTGACCCTATACCTCTACGAAAGTGTTGCAACTTCTTGTACGATATCCAGCATGATACTTAGTTAATGGTATTTATATACATGTTCTACTATACGGTTCTTTAGCAAGCTTACGTACCATTGTCACAGCTAATTACGTGGCTCCAACATTGTATTCGTCACCAACATAACTGGTGTACTATTCCGGGCTTGGCTGGCCGCTTACTAGTCGAGCCATGGCTGCTCCGCAACAGAAAGGTCTATGTGAGAATAAGGCTCTTCATAACGTCTGTAGGTGTATGGACATATACACTCCTTTTGTGATGCTCCTAGGATCCAGCAAAATTTAAGGGAGGTCGGACATCCAAGGCACTAATAACTGTAACCGAGGTCGACACACTTTTCAGCCTCGGGATTGAGGAATGCAATTTTTAAGAGGATGTGTTCGTCAGGGGATATTTGATGCCAATCTAGCAGGTCAGAGAACGTCCCTTTACTGCGTGGAGCTAAGCAAGATAAGTAATATTGTTGATTATGATTATAAGCCGCAAATTCTGCTGTCACCTGTGACCTGTCTCTTCCTATTTTCAATCTGGCTGATGTATCAACTATCTAACAAGCCTTACACGTCGTTCGAATGCTTCCATATTAAACTTATGTGGCAGCGATGAAGGCCAATATCAAAGTGCCTTACCAAAGTACCGGGCAGATAGGGCTAGGTGAGGAAAGTATGACCTGTTGCCGTCCTAGGTTGAGTACCGTTTATGCAATTCTTCCAGCTCTTCAATTCCATGAAATGATGTTGGTACCTTCGGTTGATCTCACGCATTTCTTCCGTCTTCACCTGACGATCGCTTCGGGCGCTTCTGATTGTGCTGGGTCCAGGCTTGCAACTTCCTTCATCTTGACTGTCTCGGTGAATCATCCCTTTCCATTCCCTTCCCTCATGCTTCTCAGGTATACCGTCTATACTCTCAGCTTCCTTCTCCTTTTTATTGGTTTGATCTGGCTGATTCCTTGTTCTAGGCGTTTGATTCTTGCTCAAAAACTTGCCGCCAGGCCCTCTGGGTCGTCTAGCTGCATGCCTATGTCGACTCTCGTGCATGTATGGTTTGCGGCCTCTTGGCATACTACCCGAAAACTCGTTGAGTCGCTGTCTTGCATCGCGCCGTTTCAATTTCCGATTGAATTGTTTGGCATTGACATAGACCGGAGTGTCATCAGAAACCTGAGAAACCTCTTCGCGAGATTGAAGCTCAGAATGGAGAATCGTTGCAGTTGGCGGATATGGAGGATGAGCCATCCAGCCCGAAGGCGGGGCCTGAGAGGGCGGACCTGACGGTGGATATTGAGTAGCCTGTTGCATTGGCGGAAGCGAAGGTTCTTGGGCGAAATGGTTTCGCCACGCATAGGAACCAGCATAGTTGATGGATTCGGCGGAAGGCATCGCAGAGTTGTCGGATGAAGTTCGCGCAAGGTGGTCCTGAAGCGCGACGTTCACGTCCAGGAGCATATGGGATGTCGAGCTTGGAATAGAGGAGGGTCGTTCTTGGAAGCATCCTCCTTCCGGTTTGGTTGAAACATGGATTTTATCCATCCCAGCAAAACGAAAAAGAACGTGGTAGCTTTGTTGCAAGCACTGGACGTGTCTACACGATGAAAGGTTAGAAAATGTTTGGTCTGTCCGATTGTTGATTTCTCACGAAATCACGCCCCTAGTGCTACGAGAGTTCCTGGGAGACGTGACGACTTTACAACTAAAAAGGCCTATTTAAGAAGCAGAACAAGGAATGATCAGCATTGGCGCATCCTACATAAATTGATCATCTAGGCTACCGCAGACTTTCGCCGCTGCAGCATCTTCTACGCCATGATCTGCCGTCTTCGAACATACCTAGTGAATCCGGGTTCTAGCGATACTACGAAGGCTGCTCTCCTATGTACAAAACCTACAACTTTCCAAACCAAAGATGCTTCCATTACAAGGCTCTGCGCGTGTAAGCCACAAAGTTGCGCAGGGCGCCAGGTCTGTGTACAGACTGAGCGAATGCCGCTTCCATGTTGTAGGACACAAAGGAGAATGCCTCAATCGGATCTAACCGTTCAGCATTCGTGTACTGGGTGAGATAGGGGGTTAGGAAGGGAAGTCCCGGACGTCTCCTCATTTCAGCGCGGAAGACCATGTAGTTACCATTGGGGTTGATGAGGCTGTAGTGCGGAGAGTCGGCACCTGCTTGCTTCTGGCCGTGCACAATGGCAGCTAGGCGGTGCCAGTTACGATAGCAACGTAAACCCTTGAATCATAGTCAGCAAAGGCAATCTGTATCCATGAGTTACTCTCACATGCGCGATTTCGTTGACACGATAGTTCAAGCGGGGATATGCTTTGCAGCACTCAGCAATCGCATCACGAAAGGAACACCAATTGTTGAGCAGGTGGATCGATTGTGATCCACTGTTTTTCAAGGCTTTAGGGCACACAAGGTCAAAATCCTGCATGTCGGAAATGGTCATCTCCCTTGCATAATCAATAGCGGGAGTAGAGATCAAAGCATTGAATGTGTCCACCTCAATTCTAAATCGCGGCCATGTGGTAGGTAACGCCTGTTTGTAGGTGTAATCGAAGCGCTCTGTCAGTATTTGGAGTCTAGTGAGTATTGCGCCGAGGGATATAGTCTCATCTTCTGCAAAGGTTCTGAGTGGTTCACATATCGGCTCAAGGTTAAAATACGCAGGGTATTCAGGTGGCAACAGACCGTTCAGGACCGCTTGATGAGCCAGTGCGCTTCGGTTTCGCAATTTCTGTTGTAGTCAGCAAAGCGACTGAGAGAGAGTTAAGACCGAGAGGGCCTACCTCTTCCACGTGAATAAACTTTTTTCTTTGGGTGGGAAACTCGCGTAGATAGCAGCGTATTTTGAGGCTGAAGCATCTATGCTGGACAAAGAGGTGTTCTATCGATTTCTCCATCCACCCTATAGCATATTTCAGACAATTTTCGATCCGAATATTTCTGAACAACCAATGGCTTTCTTGCTCAATACCGATGGCGATCTGCTCAGCATCCATAGCTACTGTGTCGCGCGGTTCCCAGTTCGAGCTGACATCAAGGAAAGTACGATCGGACTCCGCCAGTTCCACTATCTTATTCACCTTATGTTCTCTCTCAGTGTTTACCTGGGGCCTGTCCATGAAAACGGTGAGAATGTCATCCAGCCTGAATGTCCAAACATGTTGCAAGTTATGGTGGAGGGAGCTTTCGTCTCCATACAAGCCGAACCGTAGGAGGAGTTGTATTAGTTGGAGATCACCAGAGCAGAGAATCTTTTTCGCTTCCGCCCTCCACCAAGACGGCTGTTGATTTAGGGTTAGTGAAGCCAGATCGTGCTGAGGGACAGCTCTCCGAAGCTGTGGGAGGTGGGTCTGTTGGTCCAAGGCCTCTACATAAGTCGGTGGGGCTTGTGGCTCTTCTTGGCCTTCAATTGATGGATCACCAAGCCAGCCATTCCCCGTGCCTGCTGGGAAATTATTGAGGCTTTCAGCTTCCGTTGAATTGTTGGAAAGGTCTCGAATGGATTGACGTTGCAAATCCATAGATGCTAGGCTATGAAGGGGCAAATGACTGTGAATCCGAGATGGGCGATGCGCAACACCAGGCAGCAAAACTGGACTGGTCACGAGTAATAAACGTGTCTGTGGTAAGAGAATACGTATACTCTTCAAAGAAAGCCGGAGAAGAGGAAGCGAACGAGATGATTATATCTTACTGATTTCTCAAGCTGCATCCGTGTTGACGCGTTGATGATGGCGGCTGCATGATCAATCATTTGATACTTCGCCGTGACTATCAAGTGCGTCAACGTGATAGCAGCTCAGCCAAGCTATAAAAACTGGCGTGATCGATAGATCTTGAGTCAAGAGCTTCTCCACTAGTCACAAGCCACAAGTCAACTCCACGCTCTGGTTGGCTCCACAGCGATGCGCTCTCCAATTGTAGGAGCAAGGAGCTACCCACAGTTCGTCGATCCTGGCAGTCCAGAGGTTTGAGTATTCAATCTCTAATCCCAACTTGGTGTTCACATGGCTGGCGCTTTCCGAATCCGTAAAAGCGCAAACTTTATTGCCACTTATTTGCCAGTCATTTGAGTGTCAACTGCCAGCCGCGTTTCGGACCAACGTACGATGAATTATGGCGGAGTGAAAGCCCACAGGCTTGAGGGATGGTCTTTGGACATGGGCTTCTGTGCCACGATAAAGAGCAAGCTTTTCCATCGTCAGTTCATTTGGTTCTTCATTAGAAATTTAATCTGGAGAGCTCATATCCTGTCCCACCAGTGTCTGGATGTTCATATGAGTCCACTGTACAATGGATTCGGCCCATAGTAAGTCAGTGACAATATTTTCCAGGTAGTGAGAATAAGATTCGCGCAGATTCCACCCCCAAAGCCACTACAAACGTCGTTCCAGGATATCGATGTTTAACCGACGGCGCAAGCATGTACCTTGCCTCTTGGCGGCTTACAGATTGGGATACTGAATTCGTTCCGAGCGAATTTTCTTTGCCACGCCGGTGTATTCAGTCAACACCGGTTTGCAGGAGTGTGGTCATTTAAAATCCAGATCTTTCACACTTTGATTTCTTCCATTTTGTTTCTCAATTTGGGCCTGTGTATATCGCACGATCGACCCCAGCGGCTGCGTGGGTGACTTATCTCTCAAAGGAGGACACTAACCGATGCTTTGAGGAATTTGTTGATAAAGGGTACCGCGCGGCAATCATTGTGGTAGGTGCCCAATTGATAGAGAACGTCGGTGACTAAACGGTATATAGGGAGGCATTTCGCTGCCAGTTTATTGTCGTGAGGCTTCCGTCGATCTTGGTGTTTGGAACAATGAACATTGATTTGCGGTGAAGACGGAGTCTTGAATGCTTTCACTCACGAAATTGAGCATTCAGGCGTTTGCCTCCCTTGTGTACTAGTTTACCATTAGGTAGAGGGTAATGGGTCACGTGTTTGATAGTGATTACACCAAGCTTCCATCACGTGATCTGCCTACTACCCCTTGCACCGGCTCAAAATAGCCGCTTGGCAGACAGGGGTAATGATTGGATCGGAGAGGCCCTAATCGTAGTATTAATCAGCAATACTCACTAGTTAAGCAAAAGATAACCTGACCAACTAGTCCCCTGTAAATGCCAAGCGGCTTTTTTGAACCGTAGCAGGGGATAATAGGTCAAATGCCAAAAACAAGGCCTGCTATATATCATCCACTCTGTGTCGGCTATGCTCCTTAAATACTCCTTTACAGGACTCGTGGGTGTACTCACTCAGAGGCCCCCTCCAATACTAAAAGCCATTACGGAACGGCCAAAGGGTAGATAGACAAATCCTCATTGCTTAGTACTTAGATCTTTCATCAACACATCATATTGCTCCTACTTCATCCCCACAAACTATATTGCTCTCACGAGGCTGGCGACTGCTGAACGTCGCTCGCACTTATTGAACCCTTCGGCGCTTGGTCCATCTGCGTCTTGACCTTTGACCTCTCGTAGTATCTGTTGAGGTACGGCTTTAGAGCTTTTGCATAATGCTCGAAACCAAGCACATCTATCGCCTCGAGCACATCGTTGCCGGCTATAGTTTTCCTCTTTTGGGAGTCCCCTATTTCTGCGGCTAGCCGCTATGTCAGAAACATGCTATAACGTCTGCTTCTTTGCCAGACCTTCGCTAGTAACGAACGAAATAAACTCGGTGGCGCACTCCTGCATGGCTTCTTTGGCCTCCTTACTGATTTTAGCCTCGTGGGGGAGCACTTGGCTCATGATTCGAGCAACTAAGTTGACCACCGTACATCAGCATTTATAAAAGCGCTGGTAATCACCATTGCCAAAGAGAAAGCACATCGCGGACGAACCGTTGGCAAACGGAAGTTGATTTTGAAGATCGAAAACTATATTCGAGTTTAGTCGTATTCTCCATTTAATAGCAGGGTGAGTCTCACATGCCTTCTTCGGACATTGCTTAGAAGAATCGCTATAGTTTTTTGAAATTAATAGCAAAACACGCGCCACAAAATTTGGACCAAAGTTTGGTGATTCTCCAGAATAGGGGAAAAGCAAGCAGGAAAGATTACAAATGTGCAGCGAACGAAATAAAGATATATTGCAAGCTGGGAATGGCACCGGGTGTTGATTTGCCAACATGAAAGCGTTATAGTGGAGTGGAGCCGTGTGATAGCAACTCCTAAAGAAACATTTACCCACACTCCATTTGAATCACAAAGCACAGGCCATTTTAGCGTTTGGCTGTCAAGGACGGTTCGCTACCCGCAAATACGGCAGTAAGTAGTCGATTTACTGATGTCAGGGGTTTAATTATAGAAAGTGCACCCCATAACTCAACTCTGTCTTCCCATTTTGATGGCTTGGCATGGAGAAAGAGCCGGAGCATTAAATGTTAACAAGTCTGAAAATTTATCGCATACTTGTTTTGTCTTCTTAGCAGGGATCTCTTTCTAATTCTGTCACCTGATTTCATACTAAACCGACTTGGAGATCTATCCAAACGTTGCACCTCCTTGTCGGCGTAAATCAATACTGTATGAGGTTTAGTTCTGGTTACGTAATGCCTGTCAGCTGCTCATCAATTTCCCCTCAACTCCCCATCAGCTTTCAGTTCAGCAGCTGTTAATTACACAAACTTCAAGCGAACGATCAACCTTTGATGATGGACTCGACGAGCATTATTCTCCGTACCGCAGAAGGCGATTTCTGTCCTCCCAAAATAGATTACGGGGAGATAAGCGAAGCCCAGCTGGAGGCGCTTGTTCAAAAAACCCGCGATGCAACGCTAGAGCTCGAAGCAGAGCTCGAGAAGCGTCACAACGCGACATCTGCTGCTCCGTCAAACCTGATCAAAGAATGCGAGAACAAGCTTCATAATTGCCTTCAGTATCTCAAAATTCACGGCCGTCTCGATGCGAGATCTGCCAAGTCAGTCGAACTGGCCGTCAGCCTTCTTCCGACTAAGCAGACAGTTCGTGGCGCTAGAGTCTACCGGGATTTCTTGAACGACGTAATACGCCACTGTGGTCATGGACTTGCTTTACTGTGTGCTGCCAGCCTTGGTAAGCAGAACATTGTGGCTATGAACGCGCAGGCTAGAACCAGCCTCATTTCCCATATCAGAAGCAAGAAGGTGTCTCTTTATTCTCCGGACCTGGAAACCCTCGCCAAACAACATAATCTGCCAATTGGAACCGGTACGCTATGCATTTCTTACACGTGGCCAAAAGCTGACCAGGTTGGCAGGTACTGAGCTTGGCAGTCTGGCAGAACGGCCAACAAAACGGGTGCGCGAAGATCAGCCCACAGCAGCTGCAGGTCATGTTCAGACAGAAAAGACAAACGAACAAGCACATGCCAGGACAGAAAGAGAACGTGATGATACATCTGTACCGGCTGACTCTAATCGAGTTGGTGGTATGTCATACTTTCTAGCATAATTGAAGACTTTTAAGCTTATGCAAATCCAAGGACACATTGAAGGTATTCCTCAAACCTTAACGGATATCCGGGAAATTCATAGAGCAGGAACGGATGCTCAATTTTCGAGAGTGCAAACAAGTAGGCGTAAGCAAAAGCTTTCATTACGCGCAAGACACCACTAAACTATGTACTATAGAAATTCAGTTCATGTTCTTGAAAGCACCCATCAGTCAAATACCACTCTTGAGCAATCTCATTCTAGATGCAATTCAGAACAGCCGTCAGTGGAAAAAGGAAAGGCAGCTAGGAGAATCGACGACAGACTGTCTGATGACAATGGTCCCCACAGACCCAGAGCAGGATATCTCTATCTCTTTGTGGGTTAGTCATAGGGAGGGACTTCAAATGAACGAGATGATTATGCTTCAGCGGACGTGGTCAGCCTGGCATAGCCATTAATCACTTCAACCTCAAAACCCTTTGGGACAGATATCTTCTAGTCCACGGTCGTGTTTGGATATTCCCGAGTACCCCCCTTGGAGTCAGGATTAAACACCACAATCTATTCTCCTCTTCCTATTATTTATCTGTCGTGATCTTCTTTAGTAAATCGATGGCTGGGTAGATATTCCTCTCTTCCTGCAAGTGCTGTATCTCCACGCTATATTTAATGCCTAAGTTAGATTCAGATACGTGCTAAAGGATTAAAATGAAATCACACACCTTTCTGGGCATGATCGACGACTTATGGCGAGTTGCGAAAGGCGTCCGTGCAAAAAGCCACCTATCCCATGTTAATATGAGCCCTCCATGCCCTCAAGTAGATCCTCACAACGCCTTTACCAACAGGAGCAAATCGTAGTTTAAGCTATAGGTCAAATTTTCTCAATAGCCTAGTATGTCCGGTAGATGACACTTGTTGCTTCGTTTGTAAACGTTGATAAAAAGACAGTTATTATATTCGTTCCCAAATAGGCAGACAGTAAATCGTGAGCTCAAGTATCGGGATAAATGTAGCAATAAGGAGCTACAGGAACCGGCTATAGATTAATAATAGCCGTATGCGAGGACGCGAAGCCCGCAGGAAGACAAGTGCCTAGCGGAGAGAGAGATATGTTGCGAACTTAAGTGACATGCCTATCGCCTATTCGGCACAATTAAGCTTTACGGACTGCAAGGCGGATCAAATAAACTTAGCCTATACTCACCTCATCTATAAAACATTCAATTTGCTTTAAGGGGAAGTGGCGGAGTGAGGTCGAGTCTTATAACGTGAGGAGCAATCTGTGTATTTAAAGAGGGTTTTCTAGCGAAATAAAGGAGATAGAGCAAATTTAAAAGCGTACAGCGCAAGAAGACATAGAAGTAAATGTGCTTTAAGAAGGGTAGATATTAATACCCAATAGATTTTAAGGAATATCCCTTAACTAGGTAGGACTAGCATTATTAGCGGGTCTTAGCCGAGCTAGATAAGCGACTTGTTACCGGTAATAGGCGCCTAAATAATTAGGCGGCTTTTTAAAACCTTGGCTTTAGTTTTCACTAAATTCTTATAAAAATATATTTCTTAGCATTTATTACTAGTGCATAGGCCTACCTAAGACCAACGCATAATACTATTACTTGCCGGCTGCTAGCGCGATACATAGAGAAATAGGTAGGACTAGGCTATATATTGTCTAAAAGGGAGATTCTCTTTATATATATAGAAATAGAACTTTTTCAAATATATATATATAAGCTTAAACCTCTCCTATTCTTAATAATTTATATAAATACTATTTATTCCAAATCCTCTCTAGCGGGTATATTAGCTATAATATTATCGAATACTTTAATAATATAGTTATATAAATCCTCTAATAAATATAAGGGATTTCTAATAAGCAAACTATTCTTATAAAGGGAATAAAATACTATATATCTTTTTATATAATAGCTTAATAGAATTAAAGGCCTATAGGTAATACTTATATAAGGAGTAAGTATCTCACCTACATAATATAAGTTAGCTATATAGATTATAAATTAAAATAGCTTAAGTTATACTAACCTTACTTATAAGTTATTATACTATATTAAGGGGAAGAGTAAGGTTGACTTCGCAAATATAAGAGGTAGGGCAGTCTACACCTTTGAGAGGCTCTTTTGCATAGAAAAGAGAATAAGAGTAGGGTAAAAAGCATATAGTATATATTAAGCTAGAAGTAAATATAATTAATAGGCCTAAATATTAATACCTAATAGCTATCCTTTAATATAGGGTTAGATAAGTGTAATTAGCGAGCCTAGCTAAAATAGATAATAATACTGCAGTAATATGCACTAGATAGCAGATAGAAGTTAAGTAGAAACTAGGTTATATTATTTTATTAATTAAGGTATAAATAATTATTAAAAGATTATAAGCAATTTAGTAAACCTTTAGTAAAGCTTTATATTATATAGTATTTTAAATACTTACCTTAGCCTTACTAATTTAGGGCTAGTAGAAAGTTAGTATAAAGGGCGCCTATAGAAAGTACTAGTAAGTTATAAGAGAGACTTTTATAGAACAAGTGCCTAATTATTATAAAGTATCTAGCTATAAGAGAGTACCTAGCCTCTATATAATTTCCTATTATAGTAAGATATCTAGTTATTAAAAAGAAAATTTTATTAGAATATTAGGGAATTAGAAAGGGAAAATACTTCTATATATTTATAAAACCTATAGGGACTTTATTATACTGCGTTCCATCTAAACGCTAAGCTAACTAGTATAAGATATCTAATGTTTACTACTTCTACTAGCTAACACCTTATTACTATAACCCTTAGGCTAGTTATACTTATTGCTCTTCTATATCCGCCTTATTTGCCTTCTTAGTAGAAACTAAAATCACCCCCCTAAACTTTCTCCTTTAGGTCTAGTCTCTACTATTGTTAGCGCCACTCTATTAATACTAGTTAGCTAACAATTAATATTAGAAAGGCTTTTAACTAGAGTCGCTTACCCTGCCCTATCTATAACCCTATATATTACCTATATTATCTAGCCTAATACCTTCGCTCTTATTACTACTCTTTTACTAGCTATATAATGTGCCTTAGCTTACTCCCTACTTTAGAATTCTGCTTTCTAAATCCTACTTTTTACTATTATAGCTATTGCTAATATAAGTTACTAATCCAATCCCTTTCCTAAATACTTAATTATAGCTTCTTAGTGCCTATACTTAACCTCCTCTATAGCTAATAAGGAAATAGTACTAATAGAATCCTAGTAATACGCTAGCTATACCTAGTATTGTACTAGTAATAATATTGAAGCTATAATAGTAGAAGTTAGAATATTATATAGATAAAATATAGACTATAAAACTAACTAGGATAAGAGGAAAGATAAGTAAGTATATTAGAGGTACTGTGGCTTCATTATATATATTTAAGTATTTTCTATTGCTATTAGCTTTACTAGCATTTAATACTTATAAATTAAGTACTTAATCCTACCTATTTATAAAGCTTTAATAGTTAAGGAATAGAATAGTAATTATAAACTTTATATAGATAAAAAGAGCTAAATAGGTCAAGCCTATAAAAGAGACTATATAATAAGTTTTAGCTACTAAAAAATATAAACTAGTTAGTAGCTAACTTATATAAGGAATAACTACTTAGAAAGCTTCTAAATCTATTATCTAGTACTAATCTAAGGTTTTAATATATAGTCTATGAAATTAGCTTAATACCTTTATTAACTTAATTACTAATACTGCTAATAGTACTATTAAAGCTCTTTATAAAGTCTAGGTTATATTAAGTAAGAAGATCTAGTTATAGTCTATTAATTATATTCTTAGTATTATTTATAATAATAAAAATAATAGTAAGTAAAACTATAAGACTTATTTAACCTATATTCTATTCCTAGAGCTTATAATATAATAATATATCTCTTAAGATAGATTTGCCTATTGCAAGACTAAAACTAATAAACATTATAATAATAAAGATAATTACTACTAGGATAACTAGCCTTAGGATAATAAGCAAATCTATAGATATTTTCTTATTTAAGATATATAGGAAGGAAATGTTAGGGTCTATAATATTAAAGGGACACCTATTAAGTATAATAGCTAAGAATATAGTATTAACTATAGCGATAGCTCTACTATATTATAAGTAGAATAAAAGGAGTTATAAGCGACTTACTAGAGGCTTTCTACTTATATTATTATAATTTAATTAATTATATATAAGAGTACTAAATGTTTAGAAAAACAACCTGCAGATCCTAGTCTAGACACTATATTATATTCTATTATAAGAGGAGGGTTATAAGTTAGAAATTATAATAATTTTAAAATATAATTTATATAAAGAAATAAAAGATAAGCTAAGAAGAGCTAGCAACATTATCTATATAATAGCGGCATTTTATATAAAGCTAATTATATAATATTATTTCGCTTTATAATTAATTAAGTTACTTTCCTTAACTTTTTATTATAATAAGAGTTAGCTAACTATAAAATATTATAATTATTTAAAATATTTAATTATTTAAAATATTTAATTATTTAAAATATTTAATTATTTAAAATATTTAATTATTATAGACCTGCTAGTAAGGAACTAATATAAGAGCAAAAGTAGAAGGAATCTAGCGCAAAACTTGCAATAAGAATAGAATTTCATATACTTATCTACTCCTACTTTTTACTATCCTCTATAGTATCCTTAAATACTTTAAGGATAGGCTTATATAAGTCCTTAGGGTCTTTCTTAGTTCTAGTATTAAGCCTACCCTTCTCCTTATATAGAAATAGTATACCTTATAGCAATTTATATAAAGGCTTAATATATTTAAATACTAGTAGGAACTCCTTTAAAACCTTATTAAACCCTTTATCCTTAGCTTTTATTATATTAGTAAGTTTATCCTATACAATATCCTTAAAAGTACTAGCTTTAGGTTAGCTGCTTAGATTCTTATAGAGATCCCACCCTCGTTAAGTATAAAAAATTTAGTATATCTATTTACCTCTACTTTTTACTTCTATTATATCCTTAAGTACTTTAATTATTTTACTACTAGATCTTAATCCTCTTGCTCTTCTTTATTAGATGTGGCAGGTCTAAGGCTACTAATAACTTATAAACTATTTTGCTTATTATATCTTTCTAGTTATAATTGGAATTTAAAGTATAGGTTTTTTCTATATATATCTTAAATCTATAGCTAGCCTAAACTCTATAATTAAATCTAGACTTCCCTATAGACTAGTATATTTAACATATTATTGCCTCACTAAATCTAGGATATCTAAGGTGAGTTCTGCGCTAATGTTCTAACCTATAAAATGCTACGAAAAGTCTATTACTATAAACGAATTTA